GGTCTAATCGATCGCGGGATCGATCGAATTACATATGTCGTTTTGTTTAATCACCATGTAAAAACGTCGGAGGAGAACGATAAACGCGCCTAAATTGTGGAGTACAGTTGTCGGTTGGACCGATCGCGGCCATAATTAATCGCTGAATCAGTCGGTATCAATGACGAATCAAATCATTGACGAGTGATTCATTTTTTTTCTAGCGCGCGTCAGCACACGAATCTTTCGAATCATTTCTTCGAGTAGGGATCAGCTCGTTACGCGACGCTAGCTTTGTGTACGTTCGTTGTATTCTCCCATTCCACGAGCGATTTATCCGATACATGTTATCCTTGAAGAAGCATCTCGAAAAGTATCGGGAAGCAATATCGCTTCTTTGCAAAAAGTCTCTACAAGACCCCATTCTGCTGTTTAATTAATGCCCACAAGTCCAACGTCTCTCTTTCCTCTCTCTCTCTCTGCTTCTACGGGGGACGTATAGTTTATATTAATTATACCCCGGAAGATTCAATTAGTGCGTTTCTCATTACACTTACTTATACCGGTATCCATTATTCATAAGGAACCACCGCGGTAGCACCCTCCTGACAATGCACGTGATCCTTATAATTCATCGTTGGAACCAAAATATATAGACGTACATGGCGTATATATCGGTCTTCTATATGCAAAGCGCGCGGAATACGTTTAGGGAAACGAGAAATTTATTTTGATATGATGTACAAAGGAATGTATATTTAAACCTTTCGCGCTCACGTCCAGGCCGGAAGATTAAACCTCCCTCTCTCCAATTTCATACCGACACGAAAATTGCAATAGCTTTCGTTCCTCTCTAAATTACATGACGAGTCCGGTCGTGCCCACTTATTGCGCGAGAAAAAGAATAAAGTTCGCTATATACGTCCATGCCCCGGGGAACTCCAATTTCTTGGAAAGTGTTTGTCAAACTTGCGCTATATTCTCGTTGTTCTCAGACGACACATTCCGGACGTGTTTCGACGTTAAGATTGCACGATGAAACGACGATAAATTTATCGCGATGCGTGTGTGCGGTTTCTCATCGGGACTTTGGAGAGAACGTTTCAAAGTTCCCCGGATAGCAGACGTATTCGCGTACGTGCCGCGAAGGCATTCAACAGCGACGGGAAAATAATGGGTCAAGAAATACTCGAGGAAGAATGTATCTCAGGCGACACCCAATATGTGGCTCTGCGGCTACAGTCTCTCTCTCTTCTTCTCTCTCTCTCTCTTTCTCTCTCGGTAGAAAAATCAACCGTACTGAAAGTGCGAAAGCTGTTTCGCACTCCGCAAAAATTTAAATAAGATTCGAAGGAGGGAGTGAAAGCGCCGTGCCGGAGATATTTGCCAGAAGACACAAACGACCCCGTTCGCGTTATTCGCGAAAAGGAACCGATATTACCTCGATGGGACGCGCCGCGAAATTTATTTGCGAATTTCATTTGGTATTTCAGACTAGTTAAAGCTGCTCATTTCGCTCGCAAAGTCGCATTTATTATGTGTCCTGTATTGATTGTGTCATATATTTTAACAATGTTATATATATTCGTTTGAAAATATTCATGTGCGGAAAGGTAATTTCTGTGTATAAAGGGCGCGTGCACGCAATACTAAATACCAATGTAACAAATGACTCTGAAGAGAATGTCCAATATACTTTTGGGAAAATTGAAAACTGAAACGTTGTAAAAGATAATAACTGCGACAAATTGTCGCGCGCGGAAAATTATTATTGCATGGTTCAGTGCGGAATTCTCCGCGTTTTTACGCGGTATTGATTCGCCGTGCGCGGCTCGAGAAATTTCGTTTAAATTACATGTTAGTTAAACTTTTGTTAACCGAAAAGTTATCGCGCTCGCGTACACCAGCAAGGTGATCCGGGATAATTCCTCTTTACCGCGAGAAAAAAGAAGACGCTCGCCAGCTAAACACGCGCTATTATTTTACCGTCCGTCTCCTATTTCATTATTTCACTCTCGCGAAAGTCGACGGTAAACAAGATATTTTTCCCGCGTCGTATTACGCGCATATTATAACGTTCTCTCGGATGTGTGTTTCGTTGACGACTTAATAAGACAGCCTCTGAATCTTTCAACGCGGACGCGAAAACAACGCGGCGCGAATTGAACGCTTAATTGCATCGCGCCGGCAGAAATCAGCACACGTTGCGGAATCCTCGAATGAGCCGCGGGATCATCTTGTCCCTAATATCTTTTCGTTATTAATGTATTAATTAACGAATTAGACAGGAGAAAAATGACGATTCTCGCCAGGGAACGTGCGATAAGCGCGCCGACCCGGTTCTCACCGGCGCGGGTATACCGGACGACACCGCGTATTATGCTTCGCACGTTTTGTTTCGCTTATTTTCATCCGGCAGATCAAGGCAATTGGTACCGCGGGCATTGTGCAGAAAATTATTGCGCTTTGCCCCAAAGCGATCCTTACATTACACAAAATGTTCATACTGAGACTGATGTGAAACGATTTTAACGTACTTCGGTTATCCTGCGGAGCGCCGTAATTGCGCAAAACAACAAGGAGGCAACGCGCAGGACCTCGAGGCTCTCCGCGTCCGGCACACGTACATATGGAAATCTAATTTTAATGATAACAGATCGAGAAAGATCATCTCGCGTCTCTCTTATCTCCCCTGCCTCTCCGATATTAGCTATCCTTACGACGGAGAGGCAGAGATATCGCTTCGCTTCGCGAGCACAAGCTCTCATACACCGGGAGAAGAAAAATGGTTGATCTAATTAAAGTGTTACAGTTATTCCTGGTCCCACATACAACGCAACCACACTTTTTATTGTTCCAACACGAAAATAGCAGCAGTAACGTACGTGCACATAAAAGTTATTATCACTAGCATTATGATAGAATTTTATAAAAAAATACTTTTCTTAACCATGATTTATAGTAATTATTTCTTCATGTGGTTATATAGTTACAAACACCAAACATTTTTTCCTCAGTGTAAGAATAACGTTACTGACTTTGTAAGCGCGTTGTGATAAATTTTTCCGAACGCGTATCCTCGTATTTTTATTGTTATCATAATCTCTCTCTCTCTTACATAGGGAACTCATCAACCTGAACACAAAATTCCTCTACCATTTCGTAAACAACCACGTAGATTTTCAGTTATTAGTTAAAGAAGATTAGCGCATAATTATGCTGCAATTTTCTTGAATTAATAATAACCAAAAATCTGCGTGATCATTTGCAAAATGGAAGAAGACTTTTTTGTTCAGTTTAACCTAATATATGAGCACACATAATGGCAGACGTCGCCATCACAGCTCATCTATCGTATCGCGCTTCACACACACACACACACACACACACACACACACACACACACACACACACACA